GCTGTCCATGGAACGAACACACACACACACACACACACACACACACACACACACACACACACACACACACACAGGAGCTGTCAATAAATGGCTGCATATCAATGGTGTGCGGCTTGTGTGCTTGTGCCTGGTTGCATTTGCATGTGTGTGCCAACGCTATAAAAAGCAACGTGTGTTCTTTTAAACAGGCCGTCCTCATTAAGGTAGGAAATTGTCTCTCCCTCTGTCACCATTTTATGAATCATTATGTGAAACGTTAATTGCGGTGACGTGGTTGTAAAACAGGGACACAAAAATATTTATTTATAATTTTAGTTGTGTATACGAGACACCTTTCCCGTTAGAGAACCGTATCCATCTGGCGCCTGCTGAATGCCATGTTGTGCCCAGTCCGTGCGCTGTTTAAACAGCAGTTAGCACTTCTTTCCGCCATGTTTGCGCGTCTGGAGAAATGTATGTACAGTATGTGGACCACTGTCTTGTGTATTACTATCCTGTCTGTGAGTGTTGGGTGCACACGTGTGTATGCGTGTGTGTGTGTGCTGAAAGGCTGAGTTAGCGTTGTTGATGTTGGGTGAGAGCTTGGCTGCCATCTCCACTCGTTCACCGCACGCTGACGTTCCAGCTCCTTCCTCCTTCACTCAAGCATTTGAGTAGGAGGACGCTCTCCAGCACCCTGTCCTGGCCTTAATGGCCTCGACTCTGTCTAATTAAAGCTGCCACTTCTAGCTTTTTCAAGTACTTCAATATAGCACTGATAAATTAAAAGTGATAGCTTGGCACAAATGACTCTAAACAAATTATACCGCAGTCAGCTTCAGGAGGATAAACATGTTGGAAGTGACTTTTTCATCTTTCCCTCACGTGTTTCAATCTTCAAGGTTTAAAGTTCTGATATATCTTTGTTTTGGGACGTTAAACTCACACCGTAGGTTACTACTGTATGAAACATTTGAATTAAATTGTTCCAGGAACTATGGAGACACAGGAAGATAAAAGTCGCCTTTGTGTTTTTTTGCTTGTTCGTGAAGAGTTGTGAGTGCGAGGGCAGATAAGTCTCCAATAAAAAGTGAGAATTATGTTTTCTTTTTTAATTTACTGCTGGTGTAATACTGATATACAGTATGTACTGTACAATTAATTAAATACAAAAGGTAGAAAGTGGAAACTTTGCGTTTTACATTTAACTCAGCTCTCAGCGGTTTTAAAAATGCAAGTGATCGTGACATGAAACAACATGAAATCTAATGAAAAATAATAAAATAAAAGTGTTTTCTAAAGCACTGATCAGTACCACATAGACATTTTCTTCCAGTGCTTGCTCAAACCCTTCATTAAAGCCGCATGAATTCAAATATCCAAGTCCAATATGCTATTTCTTTTTGGTTGCATCATTACATCAAAAGGAAAATCAGACCTGTTACGTGCATCATTTTAACCATGTTTGTCTGTAGTACTTAGCAACTGGGAAAACCTCAGGATCTTGACAAGAATTTGAAATAAAGCTCTGAAATTTTTCGGACGTGCCCGTTTGCTCATGGAGCAGAAAGAAGCTAAATTTGTCATGTAAGCCTTGTTTCACCTTTAGTGCGTGTGCCACATGTCTGGCTCTGCCCATCCGCCACGTCTTTTTCATACATCCATCCGATCGCCTTTGCCCCTAACCCTATCTGGAACTTATGTCTGCTGTGGCGCTCATTAACATTTTCCATGAATGAGAGTGTCAGCGAAATACCTCCAAAGTAAAACATCTGTTTGCATGCCTGTCTCTCCCTGTCTGTCCAGAAGAGGTCTGGTAAGTAAAGGCCAGTGAGGACGGCCAACATTTAGAGGCAGTAATAACAATGGAGTCCAGCGGTGGTGCCAAGAGCTACAGCGGGCCATGTTTTCTCAGGGCAGTTTTCATCCTTAGAGCCCACGCTATTTTTTCCCACTTGTCAAAACCCATCCTGGCTCTGAGGAACATTTCCCATCTCTATGGCCTTGTTAAGTCATTGGTGCCCAGGAGAACGACACACACAAACATACACACACATACATACACACTCCCACTGGTCTGAGGATGATTCCACTGACCCTTCTCTTCCAAACAGCGTTTGGAGCTTTCCTACTGTCTCAATATAGATGCAACAGATTACAAATTGGAGTGGTCGGCTCGCGCCCAGTCTGAGGAAAAGCCGCTTGTGTGTTGCCGGCCGAGGAGGACAAAACACAAGCTGTTCTTTAAATAGGGACGTGTTTACCTCTCCTCCAAATGAGGAGTGACTGGACAAACACACATCCAGAGCCACACCTGAATGAGCTCAGTTGGCACGGGGCATGTGTGTCGCCGCCACCATTAAAAAAATTTGGCATTGCGATGTTTAGCTATGTCAAAAAGGGTTTTTATTTTGTCATTAAGATATTTGTGCGTATTTTTTGTTTGTCTGTCCAAATGTCCCCAAGAGACAGAAATGAGGACATTTGTGTCTACGTGAATAAAAAGTCACTGACGGGTTGAGTTAAAGGAAAGATTTGGTTCACACATTTATTGGTTAGGGAAAAGGAATAGTAGACAATGTGGGTGTTTGTGTGTTTATGAGCTTTGGCCTGAGAGAGTACCTGTTTCTCTGCCTGTGTGCGTGCCTGCTCCTCCTGGGCGAGCACCACCTCCCGCTCTGTTGTGATCTGAACGCTTTCCCTCAGCGCCTCCTCTAGCTCTTCGATGCGGTCCTCTTTATGACGGAGGGAGTCCTGCAGAGACAAGGCGTGCAAGGGTTAGAAAGCATGGATAGTTTTAGAGTCGATTAATGCAGCATTTATTCAGGAACGAGTCGATAGAAACAAAATGTTGAAGGGGATTTCATTAGTTGTCAGGGGCATTTGGTCACGGACAAAGTTTTCATCCTGAGAAGAACATCTGCAAATTTTTCCCAAGGTTATGGAGACAATTCACTCCAAACCACAAATGTGAACCTCATGGTGATGCGAGAAGAAAAGTCAGGGACTCAGTGAAGTCAAAGACCATGAATGACAATAAAAATCAATCCAGCAATCCAGCCAATAGTGGTTGAGCTATTTTAGTCTCGAACAGAGTGATGGATGTGCACCCCTACAATGGCTAACATGACTAAAAACGTCAAACGTGAATCAATTCCAACTTCTCAAATGTCAGTATTTGTGTGTTTTAAATCATTGCAAATTGATTATTTTTGGACCGCTGCTTTGACAAAACAAAACTCTCTGACTCTGGTCAATCGAGATTACAGCGTTTCACTATTTTCTGACATTTACAGTTACGTTGAGCTCTGGATACTTGGAACATACAACATCTCTAATTCAATGATGACCACTTTTGTGAAAATGTATTTGATTTCAGTAATTGCAATAACTTATATTTGGCAGTGTGGCTCTGTTCTGGGACCTCCCTGCCTAATGTTGGGAGAGCAGCAGCTAAACGACCCGGGTACAGAACAGAGCAGGCAGCAATGACAACACATGACAATGATTGGGTCAAACTCAGTTTGAAAGGAAGGTGCTGAGATGGAGGTAGGTTACAAAGTGGGGTTTCCAGTGGAAGCAGGAAGAAGAGCAGGCAACCAAAGCATCTTAAATAGAGGGCACAATATGAGCTATACCAATTTTAAGCTTAGGAGGGGATCAGCTGAGCCATTAGACTGGTATAGAGATCTGCTACTGTCAATGCACGTATAGATGTCTGAGCTTGACTTCGTGACCTGCCTGAACTAACGCTATGCTCAGTTTTCAAGAAGAGTTTTCTCCTCTTCGTTATCAAAAGGTTTCTTTACTTAATTGGGGTCCAAAAATTATTTTGGGGATCTTTGATCTGACATCCACCATATCTGACAGTGTGTGTCCTAAAAGCAGCTTTCCTAAGACATCCCCAGAGTCGAAACCCTGGACACTCCTCATTCCGATGTGCTGCTTTCTGCGAACAAGCTGCAAAAAGACTCACAAATCACACAATCTGATTTCCATCTGCCTCCGAGGACCAGGAGTTCCCGATCAAGTAAAATGAATGAACTTCCCACCAATCCACTATAAATATAGACCCATTTCTTCTTCTTGCCAGGCAACTTTCCTGGTTACAGTCAAATGGATAACTGGTGGAGACAGGGTGGAATACAGAGGATGAGACATTACAATGGCCGTGAACAAACCCCCAGAACATCTCCAACACATGTGCTGTGAATCTGCGTCCGGATCCAACATTACTTGGTGTCTGACTATGCAGCGACGCAGACAGATTTTAATTTAATTAAATATTCTCATTGTTTGGAGTTAAATTTTCACTTGCATTCCATTTACCGTCCTCAGTGCTGGTTAAACACACACTAGTTATGGTTGTGACCGCTGCGGTCTCATAAGTCTGAGTGACTCACATAGCTATCAGCTCATCTCCTAACCACACACATATGCACAAATGGCAACTTCCAAACTCCTTAAATCGAGGATCACTCATCGCCACAGGGAGCGTACGCTGATTCCCGTGCGTGCACACACAGAAAGAGTGTTTTCATCTGCCTCTAATCAGAGAGGCCAATGATGTTAACGATTACTGGAAGAGGAGAGACAGGGCAAAGAGGTGGATGGACGAGGGGAAAAAAGGAAAAGAAGAAGTCAGGGAAAGTTTACGTGAAATTCAGGGTGAAATTAAAAGAAGTGAATTAGAGGTGAAAGGGAGGAAATATAAAGAAATGTGAAGAAAACCGCAGCCATCATCATCACCCGACACAGGGCTGCTCAACTCGTGTCACCACAGCAGAAAATGAGGAGATGCTCTCACACCACAGGAAGCGTTAAAAACCCACAGCATTCATTTCATTGTTTGTGGTTGTCTCCTTTCCCCTCTAATCACCTCTCCTCTCATTTTATCAACCTCTTCTCCCCTTTGCCTCTCCATCATCCATCTGCTCGCCCTGTCAGTCATCATCCTCAGTTACCCCCTCTCACACACCCTGAGCGAGAGCTGCATCACGCCTGTGTGTGTGTGAGTGTGTTTGACATTGCCTCAGGCTGCTCCCTGTCATAACTGTCACATTACGATGAAGCATTGTTGTGATAGCAGACAATATTCAAGGTAGGACATAGAGGAGGAGGAGAGAAACTTTTCCTCTCTCACTTTCCTCACTCTCGCTTTACCCTTCCACCCTCTCACTGTTCCTTCCCTCCTCTTCCTCCCTCTTTCATACCTGTATCTGCTGGGAGCTTTCATTTAGATTGTCCTCTCTCTTCTTGGCCTCCTCCATCAGCTGGGCGTTCCTGCTTTTCTCCAGCTGCTCCTTGTGCCTCAGGTTGGCCACCTTCTTTGACTGGTCCTTCATTTGTCTGCAAACACACAAACACACACACAAAACAAAAAAATCAATAGTTGAAGACAATGAAGCAAAAGATACAGATGACAGTCACTGTACATAGATGTCAACAGAAGACGGAGGAAGAGGAGGATGACTGCACACTGAGCTGTAAGTGTGAGGAGCAGCTTTAGATATACAAACTAACTGGTAGCGATCTTGGATAGGTGATATCTTCAGTAAGACATAAAATAAAAAATGAAAACTGATGGCTATAGATTGAAAAATATCCAACAAGATAATATTATATACATTTTAAACCTACACATCTTAGAGCATTAAAATTCCGAGAGGTCCAGATAGAGAAGATTTCCTCAAGGAAAGGTCCAGAACATAGTAATTCCTCTCAATTAATATCAGGAAAAAAATGGAGAAACCCTTTGAAAGAGTCTGAATAACCCAAATAGAAGAGGACAGTATTACTGGCAATGTCCCCTTGTCCCTTGCAGACAATACATGAAGAAGACATCCAACACATACCAACTCTAGTGCTATATCCTTATTTAAGGTAGTGAAGCTGTTAAAAACAGTTTTATCCTTTCATAGCATTTACATTCTATGTAAAAATCTGCCACAAACAAACATGTATGCACACAAACAAACAGCAATTACAACTAAACTGAAATCAATGGTATTTACAATGCTGCCAGCTGACATTTAATATATTGAGTCAAACCGTCACATTCACGACACATTCAGGGCAAAGCACCTGCTTGTTCCGCAAGAATAAAAGACACTGGGATTAACTGTTCTGTACAATACAGTGCAGATATAAAAATCCCTTGGGGCCAATATAATGTAAAGATCAGTGACTGAATTCAATGAAAAGCTATGAATCAATGACGAGATGACATCTGAGATTTCTCCACAGCAGGAAGCATGAGGATCTTTTCAGAGGGGGATTACTGGGTGTCGGGAAGCGGAGTCTAAATCATCGTCTGGGGAATGAAGGAGAGAGAACGCGCAAGAAAAAAGGAGGGAGGAAGAGAGAGAGGTATTCTTCATGGGAGCTGCAGGGTTGGGGAATGGAGAAAGGGTTTAATCCCTGTTTAAGCTGTCTGGAAGCCATTGTGACTCTGTCACAGACCTACAGTATCAGCTATCACACCAGCTTGACTTGATCAGGATCTCTCATATACACACACACACACACACACACACACACAGATGTAGACTAAGCCAAACTAATGCCAGTAAGGTTTAACAAAGTCTACTGAATCACGACACAAGTCATAGTGAAGTCAAACAGAAAGGATGGATGTGTAAGCACGCACGCACGCACACACACACACACACACACACACAAGCGCGCGCACACACGGCCCTCATCCAACAAAGAGTAATCAACAGGCTAAGACATTAGAAATTGATCAAACTCTAAATAAAAGTCATTATTTTTGCGTTCTGTCTGTGTCCTCAAGTCTTTTGCACATTTGAATTTTAAAAAAAATGTGTGTACAGTGTGTCTGCCTGCACTGTGCAAATATTTATGCATGTGTGTTCCTGCTATCATCACTGTTTTTATAGACTTGTAGATAATCTATTTTCTCCACTTCCACTTCCACTGCTGCAGCTGCCAGTAACCGACCTCCAGTGATGGGAATCCATGGCGAGCTCCATCTCGCACCAGCAGCAAAGTATGTGCACTCATGGGAAATCACTTTTACGAGCCACACGCTGCATATTTTGTTTTCAAAGATGCTAACAGGTTTTCATTGTCACGTCACGTTTGACCTTTGACTCAAAGTCCCAAAACGCTGAGCTTGACTCTATTTGAAATCCTGCAATCTCACGATATGCTGTGTCCCTTCTAACTTATATCAAAGAGGTTAGGTTTGCTCTTTGTGAATTTGTTTGTCTGTTCGTTAGCTGGACTGCTGGATGGATTACCATGAAACGTGGTGGAAGGATGTATTATGGGTCAGAAAAAAATTATACAATTTTGGTGCAGTTCCAAATAAATAAAATAAATCCAGTTTGTTTATTAACAGTGGAAGTCATATTCTAGAGTGTAAATATTTAATCACACCCCTTTCCTGTATTGTTCCTGTCTTCCTACGCCTTCAACTACCTGCTAAACTAAGCTAAAGATAATGGAGGTCATCCATCAAATTTCTTTTACATCAGTATGACTGCCAGAGAAGTTGACAAATGATATTGGCAGACGATGGAAACATAAAATCCTCGATGTGTTTGCTAAAAGGTCCAGGGGGCCCGATTGCAAACTGTCCAGAGAAATTTGGGATGCTGGAGGAAAAACTGATATTTGTCGATGGGGCCAAAAACCGCTCTGCAGCACCTGGCCATTCAGAACTCACAAAATAACAATCAGCGTGCGTGAGTGTGGGCTTCACTGGAGTTGTTTTTGTGTGTGTCTTTAAGGCTTGTACGTAGGAGGCAAAATGTCAGATGCATAATGGGGATTTTTTTTCTATCCTCTGTTGGGTGCTGATTTCTATTTGAATACTTGGGATCGATTTTGCACTATACGCCCTGTGTGCATGTGTAACAGGTCATAAACAGGCAGGAATGTTCCTATTGGAGGATTTCCAGGAAGCTCCAACCATCTGGTTAGCTCTCTGAGGTTTCCCTTGCTTCATGCTACATTTACTCTATGTATGTGCACGTGGAACGGACATTTGGTTTGCAATGTTTCCTATTGACTCAGCACTCAGTTCCCACTTACACTCTCACTCTTTCCTATTTCCCTATTCTAACACTAAACACTTGTTTTGCTCAACCCTTTCTTGTTTGCCTGTATCTCTCCTCATGTGTATCATTTACATGGGTAACTATCACGCATCTGCCTCAGACCACAGCGACTTCCTCTTCATCTTCTCCTCGTCTTGCTCTCCCAAACCAATCCTGCTCTTTCCCTCCACTTATTTTCCCATTTTCTCGGACGCTGCTTTATAATAATTTGCATGATAGCAATCGTTTATTTGCATCAAGCCAATCTAAGAGGACAAATCGTTTCTCCTCCTCTTTCCTCTCCGTCTCCTCCAAACCCACACCCTAGCCAAACTGCAACATTACCCTTTACCCTTCGGATAAAAATATTTTCATCAGACCACGGACCATTTCCTCCTCTCCCCGATGTCTGCCTCTCCCTCTTTTGTCACTTCCACCTCCCGTACTTTACCTTCCCTCACACTCCTCCTCTGTGAAAAAGATAAACCACGGATCACAGGCGACTAACAGAGGTCAAACAATCCCTTACTAACTTTTTTTGCCAAAAGGTTTTATCATCTTCAAATATATTTTACCTGTTTTTGCTTGTAACAAGTTCCTAGTCCTTGTACATGGATGTAACATGTAAAGACACTCATTTAATATGTGATAAGACACAAGTAACAGCTTGAGCTAGAGTTTAAGACTGCAAACCAATAACTATTTATAAAACTTTACAATTAAATGCAGATGATTATATCTATAAATTCATCTATAAAACGTCACACAATTTCCCAGTTCTAATTCTTCTTTATATCTGTAAAGACACTGGGATGTTGCTTTAATGTAAAAGGCTGTGGGTTTGTGATAATCCTGGCAGGGGTGGAAGACATTAATATACTGACAATGACATGACCACGATTCCAATTCTATGACATTAAATGCATCATTAGGTTAAATAAATGGATCTTATCATCAAGTTACTTCATTATGAGGCAGTTACTGAATCTCCTTCCTCTCTATTTCATCCTCATCTCCGTCCTCCCAGTGGAAAACGCCTGAGAAAGGAGAATTTCCCTACAGGGTTTGATAAAGTATGAGATTAATATTATTTCTGTATTGTTATGTAACTGTGACCGTTGAATGAGTTCATATTCTGCTGTACTGTACTGTACACCATGTGTCAGGCCAGTCCTTTCTTTCCAGTTCCACCCCTCTCTGTCCTGACGAACACACCAGATGTACCATGAATATAGATTTTAGAAAATTGCAGTTTTGATTTGAACTCGATGGCTCGGCTCAGCTGAAGTTGTTTTAATATGCGAAATGTTCCTTCACTCTACCCACAATGCTGTAAACACAACACGCTAATGTGCAGTGAAACCGCGTCTACACACACACATCAAAAAGTGCACACATACTTAATTATGCACTCTTTGAAACGCAGTATGAGTGAACACGCAGGAAGAGGTTTACCCAAACTGTGGTGATATGATGCACGCAAGCACACCATGTGCGCACAAACTCACACAGACACACAAAGGCACACACAGTACACACACACAACTATGCACTCGTTGACACAAAGTATACACGTACACAAGGTACAAGCTCAACTGCGGTGATATGAGGCATGCACACAGGCTCATGCACGCACACACACACACACACACAGAGACAGAAAGAGAGAGATAGAGAAAAAGAGAGAGAGAGAGAAAGATAGAGAGAGAGAACTGTACCAAACACAACCTGCTTTGTACTAGATCAAATTTCTGGGTTGGACCACACACATATATTTTAAAAGCACAGACACACACACACACACGCACACACACACATAGTTGTGCGTGCACCTTCACATAACCCAACAACATGCGTCCATTTCCCACTATTTACAGGAATGCACACATGTAAACACTGTGGCACATACTGTAAACCATAAATCATGTGACCATAAACATACACAAACATACTTGTTGACAGCACTTTGAAGTTCCTAAATTTTGCAAGACCACAATAATATCTATATGTACTAATGCAAAACAATTACACTATTATATGCCCTACATAAATATACAAACATAGAATAACCTTCATTAAAGCTTAAAGTTGTAAAATAGTGCATCCTGCTCGCAACCACCAGAAAAAAACTAAAAACAAACACACATACACACACAACTTTATAATCTTCAGTAAACATCAAGCTCTCCAAAGTAAAAAAACAACATTTTAACCTCCCTCATTAGCAAGCTGCTGATATTCAGGGAGCCATATTAAGGTAATATTAATATTACATTTGGAGACCTGTATAAATATTTGATCAGAAATGCTCGGGGGGCTCATGTATGTTTACTGCACGCAGTTCAACCAACATTAACATCAAGGATTTTCATTTAACTGTTCGGAATTCAGTATTTCCTTTGAAAAATACAGGAAACATTGGTTTGGTTTACTAAGCCTGTAAAAACTAGGAAACGTAAAAAAGGAAAAAACGACCATAAGCACGATACTGTACTTTGGTCTTTCTCACCTCGGATGCAAAAGAAACTTACAGTGCAAGGACGAACATTTTTAAGGAATGAAGAAAGAAATAATAATATTAATTTAAGATTTTCAGAATGGCTGTGGGATATCCCTCGGGTGGACCAGTTAATTTGTGGGGTAAATAAGGAGGAAAGGCAGCTGGGGCCTTTGTGCATATGTGTACTAACTGCCATGATGTGGGATACTCGAAACTAGCCTTTAAAAACACTGTGATAAAACTGCAGACTGAATGAAATGTCTTTTTCAATTGCTCCTGTCCTTATGAAAATAAATCACATTTAGGGGATACTTCCACACTAGAGCACGAGTGTTTCGATAAGAGTAACAGTGTAAGCATGTGAAGAGGGAGCTGGAGTTGATGTTGGCAGTGTCTTTGTTTAACATGGAGAACAACAAAGTCCCTGAGTGAATCACTGACACTCCTCATAGGACCCACTCGTATACCTGCCATTAACAGGCCTCCTGGCTGAACCAATCACGAGGGGACGGCTCCAAGTACAGGTGCGAAAGCACTCAAGATGCATTGAGGACGAATTATGATCCAAACGCTCTGTCTGGAGCATGACCACAGGAAGGGGACAGCCCTGTATAACCGTGTAATAAAACAAAACAATACAAAACACCTCCCCTGTACTAGGTGCTTTCCTCACTGATAGTTAGAGTCAACTTCCTCCCCACCTGTGACACATTAAATACCATACCATAGAATTAAACGTCTTTTTCAACTGCTCCTGCCCTCATGAAAAAATTTATAAATCTCATTTTAGGGATATATCCACACTTCAGTAACCGTACACTGAACTGAAATTGTTTCAATAAGAGTAATAGTGCAAGCATGTGATCAGCATTCTGTTCGAACCTGGCCCTTTGCTGCATGTCTTCCTCACTCTCTCTCTCCCCATTTTATACTTACTTTCCTATCGATAAAGGCAAAATGCCCAAAATATACACTTAAAAAAATGTATTAATCACACAAATATATATATTTTTTCTCTTCCTTTCTCCTCTGTCCTTCTCTTTTTCTCTCTCCCTTTCCAGTAAGTCAAATATCAATCTGTAACAATAAATAAAGCTGCCAGTTATTCTGTCCAACTGTTGTTTATCCGTTCATTTTCAGTATAACTGTTGCACTACTTTCTTGTCCTGTTTTTCTCTTCCTTCACCAATTAAAAAAGAAACGATCAACACGCCCCATCCACATTTGGAGGTGGTTTGACATTTCTTTCTTTGGTATAAAAACAATCTTTTTTAAGGCATTGAGTTCAGTTTATGCCAAAGCAAAAAGTCGCTAATTTATGCCTTGTCTTCATGCTGTGTTTAAATAAGGTTGAAAAAAACATGGAACAAAAAAAAGGTTGTTGAGTCATTGAGTATTCTGTAAGATCCCAACAATGAGTAGAAGCTCCAAAATGCAAATATTAATGTGACAATACAACAAAGCAGAATAATACTCCTAATCAAAACATGTTTTTCATTTTCCCTGTGTGTGTGTGTGTGTGTGTGTGTGAGAGCAGGTATCTTAAAAGATAACTCAGTACTCATGTCTTCTCTAGTGTTGTCACCCACTTGCTTAAAAGTGTGTTTGTGTGTGTGGAAGACAGAAAAAAACAATGTGCATGGTCGGTGATACCTTGCGTATGCATTGTGTGTGTGTCTGCTTGTTGTCACCCATTAGCTGACAAATCCATGCACAATCTCAACGTTCGGAGTCGCACAGGACCTCAAAGGGATCACACTCACATACACACTCAAGAGAAACAATGCAATTCCTTTTAAAAGCTACAGAAACCTTGATGTCACAGACTTGGCAGTGGATGAGGAGTTCCTTAGCTCAAGATCAAAACAGCCAGAGAAAAAAAAGACAGGATGAGAGAAAGAAAAAAAAAAAGGACAAAAGAAGAAAGATAAGTTTTTTTTGTCATGTACCAGACAGCAAGGCAATGCTATCTTTTTTTTCTCTTTTGTGTCTATCTCCCTCTAGAGTTGAATCACAAAACACCAGAACAACAGCGATGAAAAAGCTGACAAGACGGCAGGGGGATCAGTGGCTCTAGAAGTTGAAAAAAGAGGCAAAGAAAGAGCTGGCACTGCTGGGACCTTCACACACGAAACACTCAGACCACCAGATTTATGCAGGAAACAGAAGGATGAAGTGGTTATTATGTGGTTGATCACAATGTGTCGGTCAGAGCCATTTCAATATGACTTTAATATGTCTGTTAGAAAAGACCCAATTCAGACGTCAGGGTTTTGCATGCTGAAATCTCATTACAGTCACTTTCTGAGTAAAGACCATAGACTGAATATGAAGATCGACGACACGACGGCTCGCCAAAAGTAAAGCCAAATTATTGTGATTGTCCCCTTGTGGCTGGTGTAGGTCATAAATCCTGTCTCCTATGTTTCAAAAAGTCAAAATACAAATTAAATGAAATTTTCTTAAATATGGTTTCTGTCATTTTAGGCAGTTGTCTTCCCAGTAACTTTGAATTGAGTTTTCTGATGGAATAACAACGAAGTTAAAAATCATGATTGACGGATTGGAAGCTTCTTAACAGACTCCAGCTCTTTGTGGCGTCATTGGTGCAAGATGGCAGCATTTGTATGCAGCAATATTTTGCCTTAATTGCTATATAGTGAAAGGAACTGGAGACATGTTGTCCATCTTTACATACAATGATCAATGGTATAGACCATAGATTTATAAAAGATGGACGTTTTTCAATCTTGGACCAAGCTAACTATCCCTAAGTATTTATCGTACAGAAAATATAGTGGTATCAATATTTTCTCCAAATTCTCCAGAAGAATGTTACTATGCTTGTTTCCCAAAATGTTAACTGTTCCTCTCAGCCCCCACACAAAGAGTTAATGGTCTAATTGAGGTCATGACAACTTTGAGAGTCAAACACGGGGACACAGGCCAGGAAAGATAGTGAACTACGAGTGGAACAGATGAAAAATGGTTCCCCACAACTTGAGCCGAATCCCAGGCCATCTCAGCCGCTTAACAAACTCTGGAGTGATTTCTCTAGAGCAGCCACAAAGACAGAAACCCAGCAGAAGTAAGAAGACCTCTGAGCAAAAGTTCACAGCTGTCCAAGTTAATAATGGAAACTCGCCGCTGCAACGTTTTTTGCTTGTTTGCTGTGGGAGCCTCAAATTTAAAGTTATTAAAGTCAGCGCTAGCATTAAAAGTTCAAATGCTGGTGTAGTGATGAGACTAGCAGAGAGTTTTAAATGAAGGGTGAAAGAACGAGACAATAATGTTTCCTCTTGAAATATAGCAATGTGTCAGAGAACAAGAGCAGGGGGAGAGTCAAGGTGTCTCCCTCAAAGACAGACAGACACGATGAGAATGATTAAAAGAGTTTGTGACGGAGTGAGCGAGATGAGAGAGCGTCTCGATGCAAGGACGAGGAGTATGACAATGAAGGAGAGAGATGAGAGAGACAGTGATGGAAGATGGATGGAAGAAAAATAGGCATGCAGTACTAACCTTGAGGCAAAACTGGGTAGAGCGGGAGACAGTGTTGCATTGTAAAGATAAAAGAAAGAGAAAGAGAGAAGGAGCAGGAGAAGGTGAGAGAGGAGAAAGAGGAGTTGAGCATTAGGTTAGTCAGCTTGATCACCCTTCAAAGAGGAAAGAGATGAGAGACAGGGCAGAGACAGACAGACAGACAGACAGACAGACAGACAGGAAGACAGGACATGGCCAGGCAAACAGCTGGGCAGGCAGGTAGACGGCCACACAGACAGAACAGTCAAATGCAGGCATTTCTTAGACATACACTCACCTTATGGTAGCTCTACAGACTTAAATGGGTTTTTGAATCCAACTAGATTATATGACTGTTCTTTAATGCAACATTAATGCTGGTTCCAATAATATTTAAAATCAAATTGATAGAAAAAACATTACATCTACGGGTTGAACATGGCTCATGCTTCTCTGCATCTTGACATTTATATATATTTGAAAAGGTGACACCCTCTGATCAAAGATGGATAGCCCCTCCCCGACACCAGCTTGTGACAGGGAATCTGGAGAGCGTTACTTATTTTCAAATCTATCCTGAGACTAAAAACCTAAACCACACATCCTCTACCATCCAGAGACGTATCTCATCTTCTTCTGCCCCTCAATGTCTTCAGACACAGCGGTCTCACACACACAGTTTGATGGTCTTGGCCGTCAGGAAACCCTGGAGACGAAAAACCTGCTACTTATATGCCATTTTCTGTCACAAAAGTGTGTGTGCTACTACTGGAGTCGTCTCTCATATCTAGACAACCTAGATAACTTAGCTTTAGCCAGCTAACTGGTATGACGTTTTTGTGTCTTAGCCCCGCCTCCCAGCAGTGTGTTCTAAAGAATTTTTTTAATCTCCAGGGAAAGACACTTTAGCCATAACCTAGGGGTGAAGTTACGCTTTAAGGGAACACATGAAAATGCAATAACAACCCATGGAAAGTGAGCAATTAGCCAATCAAAGCAGACGCTGAGACGGCGATCACTACCAATTATTTCTTCTTCAATAGTTTGGACACTGCAGACCACTTCTTTGGCTTCCTGCTGGGGTCACTTGGACAGTGAGCAGATTGTAGAAAAGTGGAAGAGTCTATTAAAAAGGCACACGACAGGCAAACGTTAAGATATGAAATTTGAAGAAAATTTACTTCCTAATTTGGTCGGCCCCAAAAGTATTCCACGCAATCACTCCTCCTGAAACTGGCACAGCCCAAACTCCAGGGTGAGCTTATGCCTGGGAACGCACACAAGTGTCAGCGTGCCAGAGACAAATTGTCCATTACAGAACAATATAACACGCAATAAACTTCACTAATTTCCCATTACTCAGGTTTATATTCTACATATCTCCAAACCACTTTCCCCTTTCTCTAATTTTCTCTCCATTTTCTCCCTTGCCAGTCTTTTCTGTCAGTTTCATTTTCTGTTTCTCTATCGGCACTACGGTGCCTCCACTGTTCCTTCTTTCTCCCAATGTCTCCACACGTTATTTCACTGTTTTTCTCCATCCACCACCACCTTCCCTTTTCCTCTTTCTTTCCCTCTCTCTCTGTTTTCCACTCTTCCATCCAAATCCTTTATTTTGGCCATCAGGGCAGATTTTCAGCTCCATTTCCCCTCAGTGTGAAGTCACCCAGTCTGCTCCAATTACCATCCTAGTTACTGAAATAAATAACCTGGTACCATTACAGCTGCTTTTACACTAGAGGAGAACGACAGAGGCTTTATTTTTACTCTTATTTTACCCACATCTGATCTTTTCATTAGTAACGCTCCCAGTGTTCACTCGTAGCCCAGGGTTAGCCATGGTGCCAAGCTTAGAGTTGGCTAAAGGCGAAATTATACTCTTCTGACATATATGTTAGCTCCAGGCTAAGTCTTAAAATTTACGGCAGGGTTATGTAGCCCTGGGATAAAGTCTGTATTAGTAGGCCCAATGCTTCTGGGTTAAAAAAGCCTAGTTAATGACTATATAAAAAAGTTTAAAAAACAATTCTTGTTAAAAGGTTTCCACACCATCATGCATAAGACATCTGTGGACAACATAGGAGTTAGGTTAAAATGGCGCAGAGGTTCACTGACAGTAGGTTTTGATGTGTATGTTGTTGAATGAACTAACAAATTACCGCCTCATGGTCGTATTCCTCCACCTTTCATTCAAATTGAAGGAAATAAATTCATAATCTCGTTGAATAATCCTTGACTAGGAAAGTGTTTTGCAAAACATTTGATGATGTCACTTTTATCACTCATTCTATCATTATACTTTGTTATTCTGCCTGATGAAAGTCTAGTACCGAAACGTTGCAGCAAAAATAAATCACTGATTGCAAGTTGGACAGTGTGCAGGAGCTCTTTTCGCAGTTATTGGCAAGTAAAAAAATTACTTTTGATGTTGAACATTTCCTCTAGACTGGAAAGTAAACAGCTATTAATGCTAATGTTGGCTCTGTAGCAATAGCAAATGCTTCATATAGCACCTTTAAAGCTTAACCACAGTGTTTTGAGTTAACCAGGGATACTGCTTCCCTTGTCATACATCCAACGGCTAAAGAAAATTATCTTCGAATGTTCTAATATAAGCTCTACATACAGTCACTGAGAGGCCTTTATTTCATCATAGTCAACCGGGAGAGGGAAACAACCCTTCAAAGACATATCATGTAAGAAATCCTAAATAAACCCCCATCTGCACTTTTAAATTACATTACAATGTTATCCTCAAACTTAGAACTGCTGCAAATCTGCATCTGTGGCTACTGGCAGACTAAACATACACACACACAGGTCCAGTTTAAATCCATGACTTTTAAGTCAGCAGGTGCTGAATTATTAATAGTTCATTGCTTCTGTCCAGACGGAGACACAGTGAGGAAATACTGAATCTCCCCCCAAAAATCATTAAGAACCATTAGTCTTTCCGTCAAACTAATAAACACACAGACAGAGAGCAAAAAGCAAAGCGGTCGAGGTGGGGGTGAGGACTTCAGAGTGGGAGTAGAGATCATGTCTAAGGAACATTAAAGAGACAGAAAGAGCGATGGAGCAGGCAGGCAGCATGTGAGAGTTCAGAAATCAAAGATACAAACAGACAGAAAGACAGACCAGTTTTTCTTTATATCCAAAGAGCGTTCTTAGACATCTAACCCTTAAAGTTAACTAAAACACAACCAAATTTAACCTCTCAGTCAACTTTAAACTGTTTGTTAATGTTGTTATTGAACTCTTGGCCACATTATGAAAAACTACTTTGAGAAGTTGATTTTTTTTAGCCCACACAGAGACGCTCATAAAAGGACACACAGGCAGAACAACAGACAGATATTCAGGGAGACAGGTAAACGCAGGCAGACATGCAGGCAGACATATAATCTGATATAAACTGACAGAGAAGAGAGATTAGGACGAGCTAATTAGGTAGATTTAGTGAACATCAGCAGACGTAAAGAGCAAAGGACGGACAGGTTGATCCAAAATTACACAGAAAGTAGAAAATCAGTTGGAAACAAACATATCATTACTGTTAATATGAAAAAAATACAGTGAATTCATTGTCCAGACTCCTAATGAAAGAAAAAGAGCGTGTTAAACTCTGCGAGTCAAGCATCCGCAGCTGAAAGTAAAACAAAAGTGAAGCGTGAAAACAGAGCCACTAAATGAAAGAGTTGCATCATTGACAGGAGCAGAGGCTCAAAGAGTTTCAGGCTGCACAGCAAAGACTCTGGTGCCAAACCTCGCCCTCATTTGACAAACTTTTCACAGCAGTTTGGCTCGTCACACTGCAACTACAACAGATGACAAAAACTTCTGTTGATGGCCCAGACGTGTGAGAGAGTACAACTAGCGCCGATTAATGATCTGTGGGGGAATTTTTTCCGATCAGCGAACAGGCCAAGTGAGCCACAATGGAGGCATGAGAATACTGATCCAATGCTGCAACTCTTTGATGGTGAATATTAGTGAACATACTCAGCTTTGTCCCATGTGGAAGAGGAGAAATCTCTTGACAGGTCAAATATATTTATTTTTGTAAAGAAATGTGAAAAAATTGGTTTTAGGGTGGCAACTAACAATTATTTTGATTATTTTTACGCCTTCCAAAGTGCAGATTTTAAACCTCTTCGTGCAAGCCCACTGTTGCTTCGTGTTATGAGCAAACAACAACAACAACAAACCATATATCGTTTTTTTCTGTTTGGGTTGCACTGCAAGGTCTAATTACAAGTCTAAAGCTAAATTTAGCATCACTGCGCCACATTACCATCATTCACAGGCGTCAGAGTTTCCCAATATTACTTGGACCACAGACTTCGTCTCTCGTATTTGACAGATCATGGTTGTAGCATGCTTGTTTAAGCGTTAGCTGTCGGTTTTGTAATCTCATCTTGATGGAGCTATTTCGGAAAGCGAAGGTCGAAGAGATTACTTTTTTTTTAAACCGGGGGGGATAATAATATAATAATATCCATTCAAACAATATCCACAGTAGTTATACAAGGCCGGAGTTAAACTACATCTATAGAAAATAGTGAAACATTTTTAATTTCCCAGAGCTTAAGGTGACACCAAATTGATTATTTTATCCAATTTAAAGTCCAAAATTCAAAGATGTAATAGTAATGATTTGTATTATTTAACATCTAAGTTGATGAATTACTACTATGTGACTATACTAGTCAGAGGCTGTCAGAAAATATTCTAATCTTGATGAGGGAACCTCTGATGAGTCTACATTTACATATTTCCTTCATGTATTTAATCTAAGATGGCAGGGCGTGTTCCTGTGGTGCTGGATACTTGAGGTACTTGGAATAAAACAGTTCACCACAATTCACTTTTGAAGTAATTACAAAGTGTTTCATTACAGACGCTTTTCCACATGGGAGTGCTTGCTATCATTGTGCTTTCATATCCCGCCCTCTGACAAGCAAAGTGAGTTGTGCCGTGCATCGGTCTAACTGACTGACAGGGCCGCCAGCCACTCACGTGCCCAGGTAGTCCCACACCAGACCCCCCTTAGGCTGCTGAGACGCAGCGGGGGCGGGGGCCTGTTTTCGCGACTGTTGAGAACGCCACAGATGAGAAGCAGAGGGGTTTCTGAGGTGGGATGGGCACGCACACACAAACACACACACACAAACAAACAAACAAACAAACAAACAAACAAACAAAAACCCACTCACACAGATACAGAATCACATGGATGCATACATTCATTTATGCGTGCACACACATGAATAAGGTAAAATGATGAACATAATAATAGATGAGTGATGACCGAAGAAATTAAGTAGGAATTGAAGGAGTAAGGGGAAGAAAAAAGGAGAGAAAACGGTGAGAACAAGAGAAAACTAAAGGATTAGTAATTTAGCCTGAATTGAATGGAAAATGGAAAACAAGGCATAGTCTAGTCTGCATTAATAATAATTTTAACAAGTGATGACAGCCTTGGTTCGCCTCTATTGACTTAAGTTAATAGAGGATGTATAGTGATGCAGGAACTTGAAATTCAGTTTTTAAGGATTTTTCTCTTCAAATTCTCCATCCCCCTCCCTGTCAATTTATCCTCACCTCTCCAGTTCGTGGATCTTTTTCTCCTTGTCGTTCTTTTCATTCTCCATCTCCCTCAGGATCTCCAGCAGCCGCTCCACCTCGGTCTGGGCCTTCCCAGCATCGTCTTTGTGCCGGGTCACTTCCTGCTCCAGGCAGGAGATGCGCTCAGAGAATTCAGTGCTAGCCTTTGACTCTGCTGCTGCACTCTGCACCTGGAAAAGAAATTATATATTAAAAATAAACTGAGTGTGTTAGATTTCAAAACGTGGTGACCAACACTTGATGAAGGCAATAAGTTCACTCTGAAGAAGAATGGGCCAATATGAATGTGTGTTAAGGATGTGGTGGATGGATGTGATGAAAGTGACTTTGTTGAAGAATCGGTTTATAATCCCAGACCAGTTTTAATAAAATGTGGCCTCAACAGTTATAAAATAATCAAATAATAATAATAATAAACTATTTATTTTCATAGGATAAAATGCAGCTCAATGTGCTTTACATTAAAAGGGTAGTTAAAGCAGGTGAATGAAATTAAGGTGTGTAATAACAAGCCTGGCTAATACAAACAAAGAGTATTTATGAAGCGCAGGAATCTCATGAATTATGTATACATTTAGGGCTCATTTGTTTCTGATTAAAAATACATGTATTCATTTGTTTTAGTTCTTAATTTTTAAAGGTGAAGGAATAAAATGAGCATAATTTCCAGTAAAAACGAGTAAACAAGGCAGCAGGGTCTGCAGCCAAGGTTGTGAGGCTGTAGGCTACGATGGACCACTGATGGCAATTTTAACAGGCTAGCAGGTAAAGAAGCTAGGAGGCCTGTTTAGTAGTTACCGTTTAGTATGTTCACCCTTTTAGTAGAGTGTGTTAGCATGGTAACATATGACAATTACCACTAAACAAAGGGATGTAAATAGTTCTGATGGTATACACATACAGTCAAAAGGAATGGACTGAGTTATAAATGTGTATATTCAGCAGTTATGTTGGCTATGTTGGTTATGTTAGATTTGTTTATGAATGAACATGCTAACTCACATGATGTTGATTTGTATAAAGATTAAAACATGAGTAAACAAAAATTTAACAAAAGAAATTAAATAAAACAAAGACAAAAAAACGAGTTATAACCAGCTTAGAGGTTAGAACAGCTGTGTGTGTTTCCCAGAAGCAAATGTTGCTCTTGGGACAGATTGACTTTGTGTGTGTGTGTGTGTGTGTGTGTGTGTGTGTGTGTGTGTGTGCACGTCTTGGTCCTGCAATGCATAAACTCTATTAGTTTTGGAAGTGCACAACAGTTTTTCAGGTCTTTTTGTGGAGAGGAAATGTTTGGGTGTCTGACGATACTGTAAGAATATCTGGGTGGGGGAGAACAGAGAAGGAGTGAAAGATAAATAAGAAAGAGAAAAAAGGAACATCACACACAATGCCACATACACAATGTCAATCAATTTGCACACACAGGCATAAGTCTTCTGTCTTCTATTCCCATCCAGGGCAACAGAAAGAGACTAAGAAATAAACTTGGAGAGACACAGCAGAAATTCACTGACACCTTCATACACATTCTAACTCTCTCTCTGTCATACACACACCACACACACGCACACCACACACATGCACACCCACACGCGCGCGCACACACACACATGCACGCACACACACCCACACACACGGACCTACATACAAATTCAGGGTGTGGTGGTGGTGCTGTCTTCTCCACTCTGTGAAAATGACTGTAATGCTGTCAGCAAGCCATCACACACACCATTTTATGGGCTGCTGTGTGGGAGAGAATATGTGATATGAAAACACACACAGACACACATGCACTCAGACACACGCACACACACAGCAGTCATCTGTCTCTTGGAAAAAAGTTACAGGAAAACAACTTAGGGAAGAAGTGAGATGAGAGGATCTTAAGTGTAAAACTGCCCGCTTCCATTCAGTTGTGTTTCTGTCTGTACAGTGTGTGCTTTCTCCACCACAGAGATTCACATGATGAGTGATGTTTAATTGAACCTTCATGGCCATCACTGAGCAATTCAGTCAATGTGTTTTTGTCCAAACAAACGTGCTAAAAATCTCTAATTACCTCTGTGGACACATCTTGTTTTTACGTTTTTGTAATTACATGATTAATAAGGTATTTCCCTTGAGTTATGGTCTTTTCTAACCTTTTTCAGATGGTTCTCTAGTTTGACACATTCCTCTTTCTTCTGCTCCAGACTGATCTCCAGACTTTTCAGCCTGTTGTCCTTCTTCAGAGTGGAGGAAGCCAAAGAGGACGCCTTCTCCTTAAGGTCCAACACAGATGTCTGCAGGAGAAAAGAAAGCAAAAAAAGGAGAGGAGTAATGGAGTGAAGACCACAAACCGCTTACTGAACATTAGGGGCTGCAGCAGTGTCGGCACTAACCCTCATTATAGGATAACGGTGGTTTATTCCAACTTGGGTATTATTTTTTCCTCATTTTCTTGTGCTTATGGCTTATGTTGTTTAGGGTCATTTATTAATGTTGTTATAATAAAAAAATCTGATCTACTATGATAAAAACTATATCAAAGCGCAAAGAAACTGGCGTTATCCTTGAAGTTCCCCCTACACAGTTAGGATACTGTCTCTGTACCTTGTTCTACAAAACCTTTTCCCATGACCTGTCTCTGCTCTCACTCTTCCAGCTCAATCCCTCCATCCGTGAAGTCTCTCACTCCCTTTCTTTTCTGGTCTTTTCCTCTTTTGGTAGGGGCAGTGAATCAGAAACCAGCAGGACCGACGCTCAGACATGTAATTTTACCCTTGACTGACAATACCAACTCCAGACTAGGGATCATCATGTTTGACTGGGCTTTGGTCAGAGGGACCTCGCTGCTAACTCTGATTATATTTAGGTCGCCATATATATTGCAGTTGTCAGACAAAACCCCACATCTGTGTTTAGCAGTGCAGAGAGGAATGCTTGTTTTCTGCCTAAGTTTCAACATGTATTTCTGAAACTTAAATAATGGCAGAGAAACAGGTTATTTTGACCTAATAATGTTTTTTCCAGCATAAGCATTTTAAGAAGCTGCAGCCAGCAGGTGTTAGCTTAGCATAAAGACTGAAAATAGCTAGCCTGGCTCTGTCCGAAGGTTAAAAAAATATGTGCTTATATGGGGACCACCTTCCTGTGTGTGGCTACATGTTTCGCTACAGACACAACAGTGGTATTAAACGTATCTAATTCTCAGCACGACAGTGATCAAACTTGTTTTATCATTGCCAAACTGATCCTTTCCATAACATAAAGTTATGTGATATAATGTAATTTATTTGTCTCCACACAACTAAAGATAGTTTTCCTTAAGCATCTGACTGTAGTAGAGAGTGGATACCCGACCCGAGCCTGTTAAGACCTGGTGAGTGGGTTCAGAAATGACACTCTGGTCAGGGTCGGGTTTGGTCATGTTGGCTGGGCGATATACTTGATTTTTAATGCAGCAGAATACCTGTCAGGTTGTGGTTGGGCTTGGCTAATTCCCTCTCTGGCTCGGGAAAGAAAATTCAAAGCAAACCACACTCTGGTGTGTATGTCTGCGTTTGTCGGTAAAGGGACTTATTAAATCTCCACTTGACACTAAACAACATGTAAAAAGTGAATTGGAACCAATTGGATCAAATACAGGACTGAATTTTACGGCATTTACAAATACAATAAGAAATGAAGCATGTATACAAGAACAAGGCACAGGCCTAAAGACTAAAGGGTGCTGTGGACAAAACAAATTTAGATTTCTTAACACTGGGCTTACATCTGCTTATGTATCCTGAGGGACACAGTGTTCAAATAAATTTAAAATAAAATCCAGTTTTGCCAAATGTTGTTTTTCCTGCAGTGGTTAATTATGCAGTCCAACCACTGCACAATGAATAGAGAGAACACAGCCTCTGAAAATGCTTTGTCATGCTCTGCCTCTGCTCTGTTGTTTTGTATGAATCATGTGGGTCACAACAAGAACAATTCAGCTCCCGTCACTGTTTTCCATTGGTTGTGTTTTTGCATATGGTTGTCAAGGAGACGTGACTGTTTTATCATTGTTGTCCTTCAGCACGAGGACCCTGGGAGGATTCAAGGTCTGTTCTACAGTGATAGCTCAAATGTGTTTCATTGACAGAGACACAGAGATAGAGCACAGCACAGATATGGATATGTGTTTGTGTGTGTGTGTGTGTGTGTGTGTGTGTGTGTGTGTGTGTCTTCTACCTCACGGTCAGCCAGGTCAGCCTGCAGCTGGGAAACCTTCTCCCTCAACTCCTTCAGCTCCTTCTTGCTGGACTCCATCTCCTCTCCCTTTTCTCTCTCCTCCCTCTCCCGCTGCTCCTTCAAGCGCTCGATGATTCGCTCCTGAACTCAGAGAGGGATGAGGAAGAGGAGAGGATGAAGGAGGGATGAAAGTTAAAGGGACAGAAAGAGAAAGGGTCAAAAGTAGGGGGAGAGTAGAAAGGTAAATTAGAAGGAGTGATGGAAAGAGAGAAGCAGACAGAGAATTAAAAATCACCTCTTCCACTCCAACAGTCACTCACAGTCACTCAATATCAAGTTTCTATACCAATAACAGTCACATTAAACTTTATGCACATGGCAGCTTTGACAGGATCTAACAGCCAACAGTGATTTTAGACACGTAATACCTCCTGGCATGAGATGTAAAATTCACAACCACTAAAACACTATAGACGCTCTCCAGCTATAGAACAACACAGCGGCCGGTTCAAGGAAAAGTACAAAAGTTCACACACAGACAAACCACGAGAGTGAACAGGCTGCTCTGTGTGAACTTCTATCTTTGCGAGGACGGATTTGATTCTTGTGGACATTTTTAGACCGTGAGGACATTTAATTAGGTTTTATGGTTTATGTAAGAATTTAGGTTAGACATGTAGATTGTGATAAGATTAAGTGTCAGCGGTGAGGGAGAACGTTACGTCATTGTCAGTTCCCACAAAATGATGTGTGTGACCTACTGTAAAAGTTGGACTTGAAATACATCAAACACATTCTAATTAGATTTTATTTGTTCTGATGTGAAACAATATAAAAATCATAATATTAAAAATTTAAAGAACCCAAATATTTAATGGTGTACAGGTTATATAGCTGTTTGTAATGATAATATATAACAATGAACTTAAATAACATGAAACATAAACATGGTGTTGAGCATAAAATTGAAGCATGACATGGGAATAACTTGAATTACTGCCCTGCGGGTGTATGCTTCCAGACTCACATGAGGTCACAATGACCTTTGACCACTGAAATCGAATCGATTCATCTTTGAGTCTGAGTGACAACTGGTTAAAATTTAAACAAAATTCCCTCAAGGTGTTTCTGAGATGTGTTCACAAAACCAAAAACGTGTTTTTCAATGTCGCAGTGACTTTGACCTTCGACCACCAAGTCTAATCAGTTCCGTGATCCATGACTCCAAATGATCATTTGTACCAAATTCAAATATAAATTAAAACCAACATCCGTTCATCCTTGAGCTAAACTGAACACTTGTATCACAAGTCGTTCTTGAGTTATCTTATTCAAAAAAGGGGATGAGCGAGCGGATGGACGGACAGAATGAAAAAACAAAAAATTACTCAAATTAACATTGAATATCACAAAGGAAAACAATTAATGTGAGCGGTAGAGAAGGATGGAGAGGTAAAAAAAAGAGAACAAGAAGGAGATATGTTTAAAAGCACCAGGACAATGAAAATGAAGGAGGGAAAGAAAAGCATGTAAAAGTCCTTCGACTGAGGCAGGAGCTGTCGGTCTTGTCCTCCTGCCAACACTCACACATCTAACGGACACCCTGAATATTAGTCACCGGACAATTAATAGCCCTGTTTCCTGTGTGTGTGCGAGTGCAATGAGGGAGATGAAGCTGGTAACATAATCGAGCTGAAGAGTGAAAAAAAAAAAATTCTCATTTAACACTTCAGCTGGTGTAAATGTTGGTTTCCCAGAATCAGGGTCAAGAATCCTCACTTGGAGCAGCCAGAAGAATCATTAAACACAGGCGGTTGCTGGTTCAATTCCAGTGTTAAGGTGGTTCAGGACTGTTTCACGACTGTGGCACCTGAATGCTTCGACCTAAACAATGATAAATGGAACGGCTGTTTCAGACCTTTTTTAAATATACGCAGTGAATGGAAACAGCCAATGTGATTATTGGTTCATTTCCATTTATCCAGAGTCATTTGAACATTGTGTGGGAGGTGGGCAGGTTTGCTCACAGTGGTTTTATTGATGTATTAAAATTGCTCGGGAGTTGACCTGAGGTTGACCAGCAACGTGTGTGTGTGTGTGTGTGTGTGTGTGTGTGTACCTTCTCAGCCAGAGCCTCCTCCAGTGTTCCCAGTGCTGTGTCCGTGTTGGACGTGTCCGTCTGTAAAGACTTGATTCTGTCTTTCAGGCCGCTCAGCTGTTTCTCTTTATCCCTCAGCTGATCCTGGAGGTTTTCTATCTGCACAGAGAAAAGGAGACAAATACTTGATGATATTTGATATGATCATTTCATGGATCTTGATTAAAACAACCAGGCATGTTAAGGGGACTAATATTTATGAGTGTGTGCAATTTGGTGCAGATCCAAATTAAAATCTAAGTCCATTAAGGGAAAATCTGGGCCTTGGCAGAGATATGCACTCTACTGAGTGCCATTCTAGATATGCATATGAAATTAGCGGTTAGTCCAAAAGCAATAAGACTTTTTTTTGTTCCTGCAACTTTGCTGCTTGTTACCCCGATTGCTTTTTCCCTATGATGAGTTAAGAGACTGTCAGAGAGTTTATTTGACGGTTAATAACTGTACACACAAACAACAGGACATTTTATTTCAAGATAATTAAGGATAAAAATTATTTTTAAAAAGTTTTCCCACACATCCTCTGTTTCTCTTTTAAACTGATTCTACAGCAAATTACTCTTCTGTTCAAAAACAAACACACAATCTGCACTTTCCTGAATACAAGCAACAGATTCATGTAAAAGGGCTCTAATGTGATTCTATCTGGAGATTTTCAAGACAAGAAAAAGCCTGAGAGGTGCTGCGTTGTCAAATATAAACTTTCTCCATAAGCTTTGCTACCTTTAACCCCCCTACTCCAAATACACACTCTCTACTTCCACCTCTTCCCCCCTGCTCTTCATTCCTCCTCCAACTTCCTCTCGCAGCGATTTGGTAGCAGATTAATTTTCAGTTAAAACACAAAAACCGCAGAAATAACTCAAGGACTCGCTCTGAGTGTGTGCATGCGTGTGTGTGTGTGCATGTGTTTATGTGTGTGTGTGAGAGGGAGATAGATCACAGACAAAGATAAGGTGTTATGTCAACTTTGTGGTCTTCATTAAAAGATGGTTGGAACAAAAGTACCAGAAATAATAAATTCAGTTGAGAAGTAGAAGTGGAATGCTTATGTAATGTGTTCGTGAAGGAAGTTGGGTGGTAAAACTGCAAAAATTTCACTCTGCCTCTCCTTCTGTCTCTCTAACCTTTTTCTATCCCGCTATTCTTTTGCCAACGAGAAAGTAAGACAAGCGATTGACAAGCTGTCACAGAAAAGAAAGTCAGATTGGTATGCAACCTTTGACTCCACTGTAGGGGAGTCGCACACATTTACAGTACCACGGAGATTGTGTGTGTGTGTGTGTGTGTGTGTGTGTATGTGTGTGCTCATACGGTAAAACATTTCGAGCACCTCATTAATCTATTGACCTGACAGCTTGACTGACACCTTCTCCTCTCTCACTCGCGTTCTTTCACACACACACACACACACACACACACACACAGAGAGAGAGAG